CTACAGCGCTGTCTCCTCGTCAGGAACACACCTTGTAAGTGATGATCTGTACGTATAAAATTACACCAACACTTAATGTATTCTACAGCTTTGTCTCCTCGTCAGAAACACGCCTTGTAAGTAATGATCTGTACGTATACCTATAAAATTACACCAACACTTAATGTATTCTACAGCTTTGTCTCCTCGTCAGGAACACACCTTGTAAGTGATGATCTGTATGTATACCTATAAAATTACACCAACACTTAATGTATTCTACAGCTTTGTCTCCTCGTCAGGAACACACCTTGTAAGTGATGATCTGTACGTATACCTATAAAATTACACCAACACTTAATGTATTCTACAGCTTTGTCTCCTCGTCAGGAACACACCTTGTAAGTGATGATCTGTACGTATACCTATAAAATTACACCAACACTTAATGTATTCTACAGCTTTGTCTCCTCGTCAGGAACACACCTTGTAAGTAATGATCTGTACGTATACCTATAAAATTACACCAACACTTAATGTATTCTACAGCTTTGTCTCCTCGTCAGAAACACGCCATGTAAGTGATGATCTGTACGTATACCTATAAAATTACACCAACACTTAATGTATTCTACAGCTTTGTCTCCTCGTCAGAAACACGCCATGTAAGTGATGATCTGTACGTATACCTATAAAATTACACCAACACTTAATGTATTCTACAGCTTTGTCTCCTCGTCAGGAACACACCTTGTAAGTGATGATCTGTACGTATAAAATTACATCAACACTTAATGTATTCTACAACTTTGTCTCCTCGTCAGGAACACACCTTGTAAGTGATGATCTGTACGTATAAAATTACACCAACACTTAATGTATTCTACAGCTTTGTCTCCTCGTCAGGAACACACCTTGTAAGTGATGATCTGTACGTATAAAATTACACCAACACTTAATGTATTCTACAGCTTTGTCTCCTCGTCAGGAACACACCTTGTAAGTGATGATCTGTACGTATACGTATAAAATTACACCAACACTTAATGTATTCTACAGCGCTGTCTCCTCGTCAGAAACACACCTTGTAAGTGATGATCTGTACGTATAAAATTACACCAACACTTAATGTATTCTACAGCTTTGTCTCCTCGTCAGAAACACGCCTTGTAAGTAATGATCTGTATGTACACCTATAAAATTACACCAACACTTAATGTATTCTACAGCTTTGTCTCCTCGTCAGAAACACGCCATGTAAGTGATGATCTGTACGTATACCTATAAAATTACACCAACACTTAATGTATTCTACAGCTTTGTCTCCTCGTCAGGAACACACCTTGTAAGTAATGATCTGTATGTATAAAATTACACCAACACTTAATGTATTCTACAGCTTTGTCTCCTCGTCAGGAACACACCTTGTAAGTAATGATCTGTACGTATACCTATAAAATTACACCAACACTTAATGTATTCTACAGCTTTGTCTCCTCGTCAGGAACACACCTTGTAAGTGATGATCTGTACGTATAAAATTACACCAACACTTAATGTATTCTACAGCTTTGTCTCCTCGTCAGGAACACACCTTGTAAGTGATGATCTGTACATATAAAATTACACCAACACTTAATGTATTCTACAGCTTTGTCTCCTCGTCAGGAACACACCTTGTAAGTAATGATCTGTATGTATAAAATTACACCAACACTTAATGTATTCTACAGCTTTGTCTCCTCGTCAGGAACACACCTTGTAAGTGATGATCTGTACGTATACCTATAAAATTACACCAACACTTAATGTATTCTACAGCTTTGTCTCCTCGTCAGGAACACACCTTGTAAGTAATGATCTGTACGTATACCTATAAAATTACACCAACACTTAATGTATTCTACAGCTTTGTCTCCTCGTCAGGAACACACCTTGTAAGTGATGATCTGTACGTATACCTATAAAATTACACCAACACTTAATGTATTCTACAGCGCTGTCTCCTCGTCAGGAACACACCTTGTAAGTGATGATCTGTACGTATACCTATAAAATTACACCAACACTTAATGTATTCTACAGCTTTGTCTCCTCGTCAGGAACACACCTTGTAAGTGATGATCTGTACGTATAAAATTACACCAACACTTAATGTATTCTACAGCTTTGTCTCCTCGTCAGGAACACACCTTGTAAGTGATGATCTGTACGTATACCTATAAAATTACACCAACACTTAATGTATTCTACAGCGCTGTCTCCTCGTCAGGAACACACCTTGTAAGTGATGATCTGTACGTATAAAATTACACCAACACTTAATGTATTCTACAGCTTTGTCTCCTCGTCAGGAACACACCTTGTAAGTGATGATCTGTACGTATAAAATTACACCAACACTTAATGTATTCTACAGCTTTGTCTCCTCGTCAGGAACACACCTTGTAAGTGATGATCTGTACGTATAAAATTACACCAACACTTAATGTATTCTACAGCTTTGTCTCCTCGTCAGGAACGCACCTTGTAAGTGATGAGCTGTACGTATAAAATTACACCAACACTTAACTTTCGACTGTTTCACGGACATGTCTTATTTAGGAGCCAGAGGAAACCCTGGATTCTTCAGGCCTGAACAGATTGCTTGGTTGAGAGTTAACGTGTATGTGTTTTATAAATAAAATAAAATAATTAAAATAAATTAATGAATAAATAAATACTCCATCACCCACGTCCAGATATATCTAATGCACAAAATAACACATGACCCGGTGTCTTTTGTTATTTAAATCAGATTCACATCCTTGTCATCATCTTTTTCAATGTCTTTGTGAATTCCATTTAGGTGTTCTTATTCTTGTCGCCTTTAATCCTTTTTTTCATTTAGCTGATTAAAAATGTTCACCATTAAGATACATATACATTTATAGTTACATGTTTAGTTTTGAAAAAAAAATGTCCATCGTTATTCCTTGAAATTTTATGCCATCTCTCTGTTGTTTGACGGCAATAGATATGTTTAATTCAACATGTTAAAGCCTCGTGATAACTTCCACAGTATTAAAGAAGAAAATTAACAAAAGTCTTTGTCCTGTAGTAAGCCTGTTGGAAAGTTGAATTAATCAAATATTGTAAAACCCTGTAAAATCGTGAACATGAAAGAGAATAATTTTTCTCTTTCCAAATTTTATAAACTTATCCTTTACATTTTATTTCATTTGTAATAATTTTCTGCTCGTCATTACAACAACTGGATGGTCGTGATACAGGTAATTTTGCCTGTCTCTTATCTATGGTTCTTTTTCCGTTTATACTATATATATATGGATATTATCCGTAGATAATATATCTAAAACGGGCAGCACTAATTTTACCTGTGAACACCTGAGGAAAGTAAAATATTTAGAGTTATTTCCCCTTTTTTGTTATAATAGATATTCGTGTCTTGTTTGTCTAATGACTTTTCACCAACATATTGACGAGAGGATTGAACACAAGCTGTAATGAAAGGGAAAAGAAAACCCGAATAGCCTATCAAATAAAATTAGTAAACATCGTGGGTTTAAAACAACCAAGAAAATATTGAATATATTCGGAATATACAGTTGTCTAGTATAATTATATTCCTGTATCAATAGCACACAAATAGCACACACTAAGGACTTGTTCCATACTTACACTTAATGAATACGCGTGCAGCATGCATACTTTATTAACACGTTGTCGGTTCTGATGAAATCGAAAGCATCGGTCATGGAAGACCACAATTTGTTGCATTTTTCAGTATTAGATTTTCATGCTGCAAAAAAACCTTACATTTTTCCAATAAAAATTTGTACAATTATGTAGATGTAAATGTACCTCTATCAACAATCCGCAGAAAAGTACGGGGATTTCCCTACAGTTTCTTTATATTGATTGACAGTGAAATTGTATTTTTCATTCACAGTAAGTAAGAAATGAGTCAGAAGTATAATTATAATCTTTAATTAATAAAGACTATATTACAGCAAAATCAAGGTCTTTCTACTATCTTTGATAATATCAAAATAACGAATCACATCTGAACACCAGACAAATTGCCTTTTTGCTCGAGCTACTCTTTGATATTACAACCTTATTAAGTACTTTATAAATACTTAAGACAATACGTTTTTATTGTATTAGTCCTACGCTATAAACCACAGAGGATGGGGAACTCAAATTTTGTCCCTTCAGGTATTTGTGCAAGTGACCACGTTTGGTTTGAATCTGCTCAGCGGTTCTTGAGAAGATAAAAAAAGTGCCACCACACCAACACAACACCACCACCGTCAAACACACACACACCTACCGGTTTGTCTAGCAAGGGAGGTGCACTTTCTTGACTGATTTTCACACCACCAACACCACCATCACACACACAGACATCCACCACCACCACCACTGACTCACACACTAACACATCAGAAAGACCTCCACGTCCTCCACACGACGTTTTACATTATACATACAAGTTCTGTTCCAAATACTTTAAATTTTGATACATAACGCTGGTGTTCCTTTTTAATTTAACCTATATTAGAATCAATAAAAACGAGTAACTATATTTCATATCGAGGTCTCTGATATCTTTATCTTTAGGCCTAAATAGGTACCACTTCGATTAAATTTCTTACATACAGAGACGTATATAACATAAATGTGTTATATACGTCTCTGTTACATATAACAGCATTCGATAAAAAAATCTACTCGGCTCGCATTCATGTGTAGATGTGTGATCAGTCATGCAAATCATGACCAAACACACATTCATTTGACTATTGTGTGTTTGCCCTTGCCTTTAAAGCTCGAGGTGATCTTCTTATTTGTATTCTCTCCGTCACGCTCGAGTTAACATGTACTAAGTTTGTTTTGGAAATACCCCACGCCTACCCGTACCGGAAGTAACACTTGTTGGAACAGTTAGATGGCCGAACATGGCGTAACGGTGTAGCATTAGGTCAGTTTGTACGACAAAAGGGCACGAGAGGTCAACTCAACACAATGTCCAGCGAGGACGAGCACGTATGTATATAAAACAGTTTTGAATGTGGTTTAAATATACCGTTCTACTCGTGTTACTTTAGACGACCTACATCGTATACTGTATATGATTGTGCAGAGTCAGTGTCCTGAAAAAAGGTACGAAAAACTGTACGTTATTGACATATCAAATACAGGTAGAATTCAGGTGATATACAGATATATTGTGATGTTGATTACTACTGGTACCTCTTTAACTTTGAGATGCGGCATCATGTTGTATCAGACACGTACATGTGTTATATACGTCTCTGGTGGTATGATTTCAGTTTAAATAGTAGCTGAAACTGACATTTTGTATAGAAAACTTAATATATTCCTGTCAGCGTTCAGGTGTGGAACCACCGTACCTTGTAAACCACTAACTGCAAGATTTATTGGCTGGTTTTATGTAATATTCCCGACCACAATAGTTATACAACAATGTAAACTCTCTCGATGTTAGAGTTTTATGTTAGAGGCTTTCAATGCAGTAATTGTGGTACATATGCCTTTGTTAGTGTATGACAGTGTATAACACAGTGTAAATATACCCGTGGTGTTTATAATCCACGCTCTTACATGTCAACAGTGTTAGAGTTATAAGATATCTCGTGAAGTTTAGTTATCATTTCTTGTTGTATTTATACTTGTTTTACATAATAAATCCGATTTTGATAGAGACTATCACTTCTGTCAGAACATCGATCCAGCCTTTAGTCAGTACTGTAACAATTCTACTCAAAGCCTTTTTTTTACAATATACGTACAACGTAATCATGAATTCCCCGGTACTTGTTAGGATGACAAGTGGACAGATGATGATGACGTCAAGCCAGGAGATGACCGTATCCCGAATAGGACAGCCAACCTACCGGACTTGGTCGGTATTGACAACCCGGTCATTCTCTCGGGCCGCCACAGAAGTGTTTCTAACGTAAGTTAATTTTAATCACAATCAGATATAGGTGTAGCTTCCATGGTAACCGTTTCACGGTCCGTTTACAACGGTGGTCGCGTGGAGGTCATATCAAGGTTAAACAATGAGATTTATACATTATCTCATTTTTGAAGTACACTGGTGAAGTTCAAGCATTAGTTAGAATGTGTACATGTGTAACATATCAATATTTTGCCTTTAAAATTGATAATAAAGAACCTGTTTCTGGCTACATGTAGTTTTTTCCACTTCCCAATTTAACCTTTATTATGTGTTATTTTAAATACACCAGTAAACTCCTAAGAATGTATGTTTAAAAAGTCCAAACGTCACTTATGGCCTGTACTATGACCTATTTTATGATCCGTGCCATTTGTGTAAGCCACGGTGCACATCTTACCCAAACACTTTTTTAAAAAAAATTCAAAAAATCATTTAATTGGGTCCCATATTTTGAACTCAAATATAAAGCTAAATATTACAAACATGAAAAGTTATGAGAAAAATCATAAGTTTTCATGAAAGTTTCAACAAATTCAAGTCTTGTTCAAATATATGTACTTAAAGTACCGAAAATTTCATCGAATTCGGGGATCGGTAGAACTGTTCTAGGGACAATTCAGATTTCTGTTACTTATTTTCTGTTTCTTTCATTGAGGTATTAGCAATGTGGTTGCATTGGTTTTGGATGTTCCAAATCCACATTATACCCCAAATTATGTATTAATGATGCAACGTGGGCCCACATTCCAGAGATTCTCTTTCCTGCAGGACATAAACAATATTAAACCTTCACAGGATCGTCAGGTTCATCCTCGTCAAACTAAATCCAAACATTATACTTCGTTTGATACCTGTTGGAGAATGAACCTGTCCTCGAATGACCAAAATCTAATAATCACCGTTAACTGTCTTATGTTCCACCATGAAACCAGGTAACTACTTGTACCATATCCACACGAGGGAATGAGATATCAGATGCTGCAAGTTTCGGTCATTCAATTTTAGCTCGGCGTGTCATGTTGTAGACTTCACCAGGTCGCTTTGCCAAACGTCGTTTTTATAGGAGCGAAAGCATTCATTGAGCCATTTTAGTATCTCTTTCCACACGAAGTGGATCCGAAACACATACGGGTCCTCTGAAGGCACGTAGACATGCAGTTACAATGCGAACTAACTTGTCAATAATTTCTGTGAAGTCATTTGATGGAAATTGATATTTGAAAAGTACCCACTTCTAAAGACGTCCATTGTATAGATATACAACTCATCGTGGTTTGGTGCACGAAAGATCACTATTGGCTGTTTGTGAGTCTAACTGTGATTTTCCAGCTGGTAAAATCGACGGCATTCTAGCATCATATCCCAGCTCAGCAAGAAGACGTCCCTGGAACCACGATTCACAATCTCATTGTCGTTTACTACTAGCCAAGATTTCAGGACGTCGAATTTCTCCAAGATGCGTTGTTATGGATACATCATCTACACTGCCGTGATAAGAACCAATTGTGACTAAAACATACCCATCAGGCAGTACAATGGAAATTAACTTTAAATAGTTGTGTTTTTTCTGCCCTTCGTTTGATACCCTTTGAAACTGATGATGTTTGCTTTTGTTGAGACAGATATTGGTACTATCTAAGACAAGAGTGATCTGATCACCATGAAATGGTTTGGTAGATACAGTATTGTGTGTGATAGTTTTTGGTGAGATATATGGGCTGTACCAAGGTATTTAGGGACAACTAAAGTGTTAAATATATCAACAATTTTGTGAAAATATCTTGACAACTTGGCTTTGGAGAAGTAGGTCTTTTGATTCCATGAAAGATTAGTTTTAAGTTTTGCCCCAAAATACAGAAACAGGTCTATTGCACATGCGGTGTCAGTAAAACTGAAACAAGGTCAGATTCTCACAAGCCCTACATGTCCTAAATTGACCCAAGGTCCAGTCAGCCCATACACGACAGTCTGAGTCTGATAAAGTTTCAAATCTTAATTTATCATGTTTGGATGCTTGATATATAATTTCAAAACAATCATTGAGGAAATAAATCCACTCAGTTTACTTTACAGAGAAACATTATGGTTTATACTGATCTTTGTATCAGGATGTAGAATGCTTTCTATTAGAACATACACGAGCATCAGGAGGGTACCGAAGTGAATATTTGTGGATAAGGGAGTAACGGACAGACTTAGTAATGTCTATACAGCTGTCGTTTTACGTTAATGTGAAGAGGAAGCGTACTTCAAATCTATGAAAAGAAGTGGTAGATGTGTAGGATTTCTTTCATTGTCAGTTGGATTATTCTCAGTCTCCTCAAATGAATCGTAGCCCTCCTCAGAAATCGAGATACTCATTACTATCTAGATATGTGAAATTGTTTAATATCTTTATGCTTTATTTCCTTCGTTAGACAGACACGGGAATTATACATAGTACAATTGCCGTGTCTGTCTAACGAAGGAAATAAAGCACCGAGGTTATGTTACTGTTGTAAATAAGCCCATTGCCTTTTCTACCACGTGGATAATTTCTACTATTACATCAAGGGTATCATACGTACTTTTTTCTACCTCTCATTATTTCACCCTAGGACACCGTGAACGAAGCGGATTCCGAGTCCACACCAGTCAATTCCAGGCGCAACTCCAGAGATATCATAACCTCAATGGACCCTGGAGTATACAGACCAAAGCGAGGCTACTCTCGGACGCCATCAAGGGTAGGTTGAAATGTTCGTATAAAGATCATTCACATTAAGTCCTTGTATCGCTGGAGGTCTCCTGTCAGTCACAACATTCAAACATGATTAAAAGTAATATACAAGTGTACAGTCTTCGTTATTGTAGTTCTATCTGTTTCATTTATATCATATGTGATCTCATCGCCATTTTTTTCACTGACCATAATTTGCATGTTTGCTGGTCTGTCTGTCTGGCACGTGAATTTAGTTCTTCCACTTCCTAATGGGGTACAAGAAATTTTGTGCAGAATGTACAACTGTAACTCTTTGTTAGTTGTTGGACAAACATTTGTGTAAATGATAAAGGCCTTGTACGATGCACAGAAGTTACTCATCGACTATATATACATGTAGTGCGTTAAGTATCAAGGACTTAAACTCAGCGAAGCCGCTGTATATCCGACAGTACCCTGTCTCTCACGTCATTTCAGGGTACTATGATGACGGAGGAGACGACTGACAGCCGGAAGCAGATTTTCGGTGTTGATGAGAACGAGGAGCGCGGGAATTGGTCGGGTCGGTTTGACTTCCTTTTATCCTTGCTGGGTTACGCCGTGGGCCTTGGTAACGTTTGGCGCTTCCCCTACTTGTGTTACCGGAACGGAGGCGGAGCCTTCCTCATTCCGTTTGTTGTCATGATGGTGATCATAGGCGTACCTCTCTTCTTCATGGAGGCATGTCTCGGCCAGTTCTGCAGCAGTGGACCCATGACCTGTTGGCGTTTCGCACCTCTCTTCAAAGGTTTTCTTTTTCTTTTTACTCATATCATCACATAAAACTGAATCAGATTTATCCTAGGCTTTTCACGACTTCTCCAAACATATAAATAAATTGAAGGCTACAGAAAGTACATAATTTTGCATACCACTTTTTCATTTGAAACTCTCTAGAATAATTAAGATCTTGCAAAATGTGTATAAGCGTCTGAAGCGTCTGCTAACGTACAAAGAACATTCCAGAAGTAACCGTTCAATATCAAGGTTGACTTCTCCAACAAAACAAGTGGGGACAATAATTTCTAACGTCACATTGTGGAGATTTCTTTACATTGAAATCAATGGCATAACAGTTTGTGTTTATACTCCCGAAAATTTGCGGTTGAGCATATCGTCGCCGCCATGTCTGTCCGTCCTTTCGTGTCCGGAGCATACCTTTGTCTACAGTTAAGCAAGGATCATTAAATTTGGTGTATACATTGATCACACAAAGAAAATGTGCGGTATACCAAATTTGATAACAGAATTATTGCCCATTCTTAAAATTTTGTATCCAACAAAAGTCGTGTTCGGGGACCACTCATCAGTTTCATTCATACTCTTGAATTTTAAAGATTGAAATCAAAGTAAATATCAAGTGTACGATAGACTTTGACTTGACATTTCAGGTGTGGGTATTGCCATGGTGATCGTATCCGCCGGAACCTCTATGTACTACAATATGATTCTAGCCTGGGCATATTTCTATATGTTTGCCTCGTTTACCAGCGAGCTACCATGGCAGGGCTGTAACAACTTCTGGAATAGCAAAGGTAAATATGACGGGTTTGAAAATTCTTGGTACAGCAACATTACATACTGTTATTATTACCTGTGGCAAATTCTGGAATAGGAAAGATAATCATCACAATTGTATTAAAATTTAGAACGTCACATAAGGACAATAGTGGGTTTCCAGCAATGCTAATTTCCCATAGAGGTTGAAGTAAGAGCGTGTCTCAATGGAATCCGAGGACCCATATGTTAGAACATAAGAGCAAGACGCAAAGGATAAGGAGCTGACTGCCAAATTAAGGCGCGTCTTAGTGTTTACAACATCTAAGTTTAGCGTGTGAAAAATGAGCCAGATCTGACCAGAAAGGCCAAGTCACTATTTGTCAAACTAGATGCTACTGCGGATGATTGTGACTTCCAAATGTTAGACGTGGAATGACTTCGGACAATAGCCTGTGGCACCTACCAAATATCACAGGCAGCTGGCTACATAAAAGAGCACCTTGGTGATGATGGTGACTACAAGATCTGGATCTATCGGCACTCACGAGACATTGTACGATGTCAGATCACTCGAGGCATAAGAGCAGTGTAAAGTACAATGTTTGGATCCAGCATGACAGCTATGACGCCATTATTCCAATAAGGGAATAGTATTACTAGTGTCCTAATGGACAGAGAACCACTAGGGTATGTGCCCACGTAGCCGGTATCCTGTACTATTTAGGATAATACATGCAATTATAAACCAATAAGCCTTTGCACCAAAAGTCAAAAGTTTTAAGGCAAGTCTCAAGTTATGTAGATTTCACTACCAACTATCATCTTCAAGGCATTAGGTAGGGACGACGTGGACAATTAGAACTACATCACTGTACGATGTAACCAACACTAACATGGCCAATAAAATTCTAGGACAAAGAAGCCTTATTGGATTCTAGATTAAGTGGTTTAATGTGGAAACCGACTTAAATCTATCATTCAGCATTCTTGTTAGAAAATTGATTCAGCAGTAGTAAAATACATTTACTTTTTGTGGTTATTAGGTACAATGACGGCCATTTTGAAAGTTGAATTTTTACTTTAGTGAGTTATTAGTGTAGGTGACAGTTGTACTAATAAAACCAAGTGTAAACATTTTGTTTCGGTTCACTATACAATACTCCAATCCAAAAGGGAGTTTCCCCTTTGCTCGTTTTCCCTTAAAATACATAGCAATATTGTCAATTTTAATTACTTTGCACAAAACTCGTAATTACTATTTTGGGCAATTTATCTTATACTGTTTGAAGGTTTTTTGTCACATCACTACGAATGGACTCTAATAGGAATTTTTGTTTTTACTTGAACATTTTGAAACATTTGTTTAATGTCAAAGGAGCATGATCTATCTCAAAATCAATCACATTTTTATGTTTTGTGTTTATGTATTTATAACTGTGACTTCTTGCTTTGTATATATGACACATAACATGTTATTACCAGTATGTTCATGCTTAGTATTCTATAAAAAATGAAAAAATCGATATAGTAGCTTTTCCCCCGAAAGCAATACACTTTATTTTCATTTTTGGCACAAATGTGGCACTGTATTCTTGCGAATGTAAATGTTTGGACTTAAATGCCAGATTGTAGAAGTACAACTACAGAGGCTACTTATAAGACATACACTCTATTGATTTGCTTCTTAGACCATTTTGAAACCACACCTTTGGACAAAGTCTGGAGTCGCAAGAGTAATACATTACTGTTAACAATAATGCCATTATATCTGTGATTATTTTATCTCAATTTTCTTTTCACAGACTGCAGTCTCAAACTGCCCTTGGTTAAGTGTGGAGAAGGGGAGAAGCTCTTGAACGGCACATGTCTTGTGAACGGTTTATTTAAAGGACTGTGGAACGACAGCTTGTTTACCAATGCAACAGGCCGGAAGCGGATATCACCTGCGGAGGAATACTTCAAGTGAGTTTAATTTTTTTACTACTCTTAACATGGGTTTTATATTTGATTTTTTTCGATGCTCGTTATCAATGTTTTTTGTAGACTTCCAATATCTGATGAACATTTACGATAATATTTCTATAATTAAGAGTCACAATGATTTCGACGGTTACAGTAATCGAGCGCTGGGTCTGAGTTCCGGCCTTGAAGAATTTGGACAACCTCGCTGGGAACTGGTTCTTTGTCTGTTACTGGCCTGGTTTGTCTGTTTCCTCTGCCTGATCAAGGGTATTAAGACCACAGGAAAAGTGAGTACCTTTGTGAGACCGATGGTTTCTTTTGAGTCACAAACAAGACATGGCTATCTTTCAAACAACAACAAAAATGTTTTTCAAAAATATATATCTATTTGCTGTGTAAGATATTGAGTTATTGTAAACCTGAATTCTAATTTATCGCAACAGTCGTTAAGTTGATGAGGTTGCCGATCGGTAGGAAGATGTGATGACAATGGTTATCGTGCATAACAGAGGAATTACCTCCTGGTTAACGTAATCTGTGTTTTACACACACATATACATATAATATAGATGTTGTACGTCTTCAAGCTATGTACGTGGTGTGTTCTATGATAATGTGGCAGTGCATATAAGCACATTATACGTATTAATAAGAGGACATGACTGGTTTACATCTGATCAATCAGGAGAACTGCATTAGTGTACTGTTATTTGTTTCCAAATAGGTGGTGTACTTCACTGCAATCTTCCCTTACGTTGTTTTGATCATCCTCTTCTTCCGTGGCGTCACGCTGGACGGAGCTGGAAAAGGAGTATATTACTACATCGTACCCGAGTGGGGGAGACTTCTAGACGCCAGGGTATGTAGGTTAGGTATTACTATATCGTGTCCGAGTGGGGGAGACTTCTAGACGTCAGGGTATGTAGGTTAGGTATTACTACATCGTGTCCGAGTTGGGGAGACTTCTAGACGCCAGGGTATGTAGGTTAGGTATTACTACATTCTATCCGAGTTGGGGACCCTCCTATGCGACAGGGTATGTAGGTTAGGTATTACTACATCGTACCCGAGTGGGGGAGACTTCTAGACATCAGGGTATGTAGGTTAGGTATTACTACATCGTATCCGAGTGGGGGAGACTTCTAGACGCCAGGGTATGTAGGTTAGGTATTACTACATCGTGTCCGAGTTGGGGAGACTTCTAGACGTCAGGGTATGTAGGTTAGGTATTACTACATCGTGTCCGAGTTGGGGAGACTTCTAGACGCCAGGGTATGTAGGTTAGGTATTACTACATTCTATCCGAGTTGGGGACCCTCCTATGCGACAGGGTATGTAGGTTAGGTATTACTACATCGTACCCGAGTGGGGTAGACTTCTAGACATCAGGGTATGTAGGTTAGGTATTACTACATCGTACCCGAGTGGGGGAGACTTCTAGACGCCAGGGTATGTAGGTTAGGTATTACTACATCGTGTCCGAGTTGGGGAGACTTCTAGACGTCAGGGTATGTAGGTTAGGTATTACTACATCGTGTCCGAGTTGGGGAGACTTCTAGACGCCAGGGTATGTAGGTTAGGTATTACTACATTCTATCCGAGTTGGGGACCCTCCTATGCGACAGGGTATGTAGGTTAGGTATTACTACATCGTACCCGAGTGGGGGAGACTTCTAGACATCAGGGTATGTAGGTTAGGTATTACTACATCGTACCCGAGTGGGGGAGACTTCTAGACGTCAGGGTATGTAGGTTAGGTATTACTACATCTTGTCCGAGTGGGGGAGATTTCTAGACGCCAGGGTATGTAGGTTAGTTATTACTACTAGCGCCAGAATGCTCGTAGACGCAAAGATACGTCTCTAACTTCAAAATGAGTTAAGCCATAATTACCCGGTCTGGAGCTGAATATAATTTTGTCCAATGCATATATTTTGAAGCTGGTTATGAGAAGTAATACTGTAATTCCAATGTATCTTTGTTTTAATTCCATGGCGATTTTGACTTTTAATAAAGAAGAAATTTTCGACCTGTTGGGGAAAGGTGCCAGGTGAAAATAGACGAAATTTGTTTCTAGACAAGTTGCTCCGTTTTGTGTAACACATATTCACAATTCAATGCCAACAGGTATGGAAAGACGCTGCTGTCCAGATATTTTTCTCCATGTCTATTGCTGGTGGAGGGCTGGTCACATTGTCCAGCTACAACCGGTTCCATAACAATATTCTCAAGTAAGAGTTATCCAAGACATTTGCAACAATATCATGTATGTCACATCAACAATATTATATACGTCACATCAACAATATCATATACGTCACATCAACAATATCATATACGTCACATCAACAATATCATATACGTCACATCAACAATATCATATACGTCACATGAACAATATCATGTACGTCACATCAACAATATCATGTACGTCACATCAACAATATCATGTACGTCACATCAACAATATCATGTACGTCACATCAACAATATCATATACGTCACATCAACAATATCATGTACGTCACATCAACAATATCATATACGTCACATCAACAATATCATGTATGTCACATCAACAATATCATGTATGTCACATCAATATCATATACGTCACATCAACAATATCATATACGTCACATCAACAATATCATGTATGTCACATCAACAATATCATGTACGTCACATCAACAATATCATATACGTCACATCAACAATATCATGTACGTCACATCAACAATATCATGTATGTCACATCAACAATATCATATACGTCACATCAACAATATCATATACGTCACATCAACAATATCATGTATGTCACATCAACAATATCATATACGTCACATCAACAATATCATGTACGTCACATCAACAATATCATGTACGTCACATCAACAATATCATATACGTCACATCAACAATATCATGTACGTCACATCAACAATATCATATACGTCACATCAATAATATCATATACGTCACATCAACAATATCATGTATGTCACATCAACAATATCATATACGTCACATCAACAATATCATATACGTCACATCAACAATATCATGTACGTCACATCAACATTATCATATACGTCACATCAACATTATCATATACGTCACATCAACATTATCATTTACGTCACATCAACATTATCATTTACGTCACATCAACATTATCATATACGTCACATCAACATTATCATATACGTCACATCAACAATATCATGTATGTCACATCAATAATATCATGTACGTCACATCAACAATATCATTTACGTCACATCAACAATATCATACACGTCACATCAACAATATCATTTACGTCACATCAACATTATCACTGAGATACCAGTTTATCGATTCCTTGGTAGCTGCATATTGTTTATGAAGGTGCTGATTGGTTTAGAGGTCTGACCGTCTTTATCACCTCCACCCCTGGGTCACGGCTTCGAGGCCTGAGTGGGACAGTCACCACCTCCCAAACTTGCCATGTCCTTAATTGACCATGGTTGTTTATATGACGTAAAGCCACAGTAAACAAACATTTGTGTATATCATTAGATTTGTAAATATGTAAAACTTTTCCATACTCTACGTACAGGGACTCCGTTATAGTCAGTTTAGGAGACACGCTTACCTGCATCTTTGCTGGGTTTGTTATATTCTCCTACCTGGGTTTCATGGCCGACAAACTCAACGTAGAGGTGAAGGACGTTGCTAAAGACGGTGAGTAGTTCGGTTTATTGGCAGTTCTGTACTGTTTGGTACTAGAGACTAATGGTATAATTTCTTTATTAAGTATTCTGTGTTGTTTACCGTGTTCTTATTTCGGAAATAAACATTACTTAATTCTATTGATCACGATACATATATATTTGTTCATATTTTGCAATATTTTTGTTGAATTTGAGTTTGGATTAAGATTATATTCACATGCTGATATTTTCCCCTCATGTTAATTTAAGTCTGGATTATGATTTTGTTGTCGTTCGTGTTTTCTCTGTTGTTTTAATTACTTGCATTTTAAACCTTACCTACACACGTACAGGTGCTGGTCTAGCGTTTGTGGTGTATCCTGAAGCGGTGACAAGTCTTCCACCTCCTCCACTCTGGTCCATCCTATTCTTCTTTATGTTGATTACGCTAGGACTCGACAGTCAGGTACTTTTCACATATCTGGTGGCATTAACTGTGGTTGTTGTCTCTATTTTATATACATCTGCTTCTTCAACATGTTCTTGGTCTGCTTCAAAGATCGCATCAATGAAAACAGTTTACATGTTTTATAATGTTTGTCTCCATAAATATGCACCAAAAACAATGTTTTTCCTTTTTCTTGTCTGAAACCAAACTTCTGTTTAGCATTTTTTTCCCACCCAGTTATTCGATGTCTCCTTTAATTCCAGTTCGCCATGTTGGAGACCGTGTTGACTGGTGTCCTTGACCAATTTCCACATCTTCGACCAAAGAAGACGTTAGTGATTATGTGTATCTGTATATGTTTTTTCCTCCTAGGACTTCCACTGACCGCTCCGGTAAGTTGATTCACTTAGGTTAATCATTTTAAATCTGTTGTATTAAGGGGGTAGTAGCACCTCCCATCTAGATGTTGACAACTCCTTCGATCGCCTTGGGTTTGACGGGCTTGAAAAGGCCTTTAACATCATTGCCGATCCGAAAAGAACGAAACTGTTGTGCCATGCAGTTGAAATCAGTATGTTTATTTTCTGTATTCTAACCTTAAATTTAAGGGTGTTATTCACTTGTGTGTCTTTTGCACTGTCATACGTAACTAGAAACAACCTGATCATGTAAAGATAGAAATCAATGTTTGATAGGTACCGGTATCACATCAACTTGTACGGGACTTACCAAATAGGGAAATGTTTGTAATATACAGATACGGGACTTAGAGTACCAAATAGAGAAATGTTTGTTATATACAGATACGGGACTTAGAATACCAAATAGGGAAATGCTTGTAATATACAGATACGGGACTTACAGTACCAAATAGGGAAATGTTTGTAATATACAGATACGGGACTTACAGTACCAAATAGAGAAATGTTTGTTATATACAGATACAGGACTTAGAATACAAAATAGGGAAATGTTTGTTATATACAGATACGGGACTTGGACTACCAAATAGGGAAATGCTTGTAATATACAGATACGGGACTTAGAGTACAAAATAGGGAAATGTTTGTTATATACAGATACGGGACTTAGACTACCAAATAGAGAAATGCTTGTAATATACAGATAAGGGACTTAGACTACCAAATAGAGAAATGCTTGTAATATACAGATACGGGACTTAGACTACCAAATAGAGAAATGTTTGTTATATACAGATACGGGACTTAGACTACCAAATAGAGAAATGCTTGTAATATACAGATACGGGACTTAGACTACCAAATAGAGAAATGCTTGTAATATACAGATACGGGACTTAGACTACCAAATAGGGAAATGTTTGTTATATACAGATACGGGACTTAGACTACCAAATAGGGAAATGTTTGTTATATACAGATACGGGACTTAGACTACCAAATAGGGAAATGTTTGTTATATACAGATACGGGACTTAGACTACCAAATAGAGAAATGCTTGTAATATACAGATACGGGACTTACAGTACCAAATAGAGAAATGCTTGTAATATACAGATACGGGACTTAGACTACCAAATAGAGAAATGTTTGTTATATACAGATACGGGACTTAGACTACCAAATAGGGAAATGTTTGTTATATACAGATACGGGACTTAGACTACCAAATAGGGAAACGTTTGTAATATACAGATACGGGACTTAGACTACCAAATAGGGAAATGTTTGTTATATACAGATACGGGACTTAGACTACCAAATAGAGAAATGCTTGTAATATACAGATACGGGACTTACAGTACCAAATAGAGAAATGCTTGTAATATACAGATACGGGACTTAGACTACCAAATAGAGAAATGCTTGTAATATACAGATACGGGACTTAGAGTACAAAATAGGGAAATGTTTGTTATATACAGATACGGGACTTAGACTACCAAATAGAGAAATGCTTGTTATATACAGATACGGGACTCAGAGTACCAAATAGAGAAATGCTTGTTAGATTGAGAGGCGGAGTTTATGTACTGAGTACAAATGTTAATTAATGAGTGGTAGAACTTTAAGTAGTGAAACTAATATGGATCTCTGTCATCTGTATATACCTGAAAGTTTATAAAGATGATTGAACACTATTGATTTAGTTCGTATTTGCATAATTCATCTTTCAAGTTACAGGATTTAATTTTTAAAATGATACTTTTGCCTAGACCAGTATATTGACTTTGATTCTTCTAGAAAGGGAAGCAATATTAATACCCCGACTTTATCAGGACACATGGAACATTTCCATTTAGTCCACTTTGTTGGGAGTGAGTCAGGACATTGTTGACATGGGTCATCAACGTTGTCATTCACTGATGCATTCAAGCTTATATAAGCTGTCGGAGTATCTGAAATGACCCTTTCTGAGGAAAGAAAATGTCTGTAACATAGATTCATAAATGGCAGTGTCTTCAGGGTGCCAAAACTGGACGTGTGTCATTATAGGGTGCAAAACTCATTGTTGTATTGTAAAATAATATTCTAATGTTTGAACTGGACCGTATGTACTTTTATCAAACTATTTCAGGCTCTATGATAAGTGTCGGTGGAATTTTAGCTACCCTTAAGTATGGTATATCTAACTGACATACATATTATACTTGGTCGTTAATATAGTAATGTGTTTGAATCTTTTTTTCACACTGTAACGATTAAAGATTAACGGTGAATTTATTAGATTATCAATTATCTCAGATGTTTGTCTTTGGTCCGTCTCTTGACTTAGTACATGTTATCGTCTCCCTGCTAGTGTTGTCAACACCACATTGTAGGTACTATCAGACGAACGTTAAAGTGTAACTGTTTGACTTTTCAGGGCGGTATGTACCTGTTGCAGCTGATGGATAATTATGTGGGAGGCTGGACCCTCCTTATAATCGGCCTATTTGAGAACATATGTGTAGCCTATGTATATGGTATGTGATGTTATTTCAGATGGTTGTCCTCACATTCTGTCGTTAATTGTCAATATTCACAAGTCTTTGTCATGTCTTTTTAACAGACTGCACCGGAATATAGAAATGTGCTGTGTGATTATCAATATGTCCACATGTAAGCCATATTGTACACCAGTATTTTAATTAATTAACATTAAGCCTATCTGCCCTCTCTTCTGTCAACCTTTCCGCCATGTGATTGGTCATCGCAAGTTCTGTGTTAGTGTAGGCCGTTTCGGTGTGTTCTTTTTACTTGTTTAAATGAAATTTAGGATTTGTTCACGACAAATATTGAGTTAAGGTTTTATGGAAAGTCGAAAGATGATTATCAGCTTTGTCTTTCACCTTTCTGGTTCTAGGATGTACCACAGTTTTGCATTGTCAGTATTTTGGATATCGGTCTTTTTTCGAATTCTGATAAATACTACATATCGTCCAGAAAGCTAAAGAAACATTTTCTGTTTTGATCTTCCAGGGGTAAATCGTTTCCTAAAGGATATTGAGACCATGCTTGGCTTCAGAATGATAATGTGGTGGAAAATCTGCTGGTGGGTCATCAGTCCTCTTACACTTGTAGTAAGTATAAATTAGACACCTGGTGGGTCCTCAGTCCTCTAACGCTTGTGGTAAGTATAAATTAGACACCTGGTGGGTCCTCAGTCCTCTAACGCTTGTGGTAAGTATAAATTAGACAACTGGTGGGTCATTAGTCCTCTAACGCTTGTGGTAAGTATAAATTAGATATCTGGTGGGTCATTAGTCTTCTAACGCTTGTGGTAAGTATAAATTTGACATCTGGTGGGTCATTAGTCCTCTAACGCTTGTGGTAAGTATAAATTAAACATCTGGTTGGTCATTAGTCCTCTAACGCTTGTGGTAAGTATAAATTAGACAACTGGTGGGTCATTAGTCCTCTAACGCTTGTGGTAAGTATAAATTAGACAACTGGTGGGTCCTCAGTCCTCTACCGCTTGTGGTAAGTATAAATTAGACAACTGGTGGGTCATCAGTCCTCTAACGCTTGTGGTAAGTATCAATTTGACACCTGGTGGGTCATCAGTCCTCTAACGCTTGTGGTAAGTATAAATTAGACACCTGGTGGTCATCAGTCCTCTAACGCTGGTGGTAAGTATAAATTTAACACCTGGTGGGTCATCAGTCCTCTAAAGCTTTTGGTAAGTATAAATTAGACACCTGGTGGGTCATTAGTCCTTTTAAGTTTTTAATAAGTTGACAGTTTGTGGATGGTCAATAGTCTGCTTATCTTGTTAAAATGGTGTAAACTCGACAAAACTACACTCCGCTTTCTGATGTTTACTAACATTAATTGTTTAGAAAACTATAATAGATTCAACAAAAGCCGGGATGCATACAACAAAGAGTAGCATAATGTCCACTTAGGATTCCTTCACTTCATTTAAACCTGAGTATTAAGTGCAGCCATTAGAAAGCACAGCTTTGAGTTCTGATTGGTCAGTTCTACAATTTGTATTGCCAATCAATGGCAACGATTGGAGATGTTTAATTTCATCGTTACACTGGTAATATAACTTTGTCTTGGTGTTTGTTATTTTGATGACAAGGATACCGTGAAACAGCATGATACATAAACACTAGAGAAAAGGTCATTGTTATATACCCTATTATTTATCTTACTCGGTTTATCTGAATATAAATCACATGAAAACTTGTACTTTTAGGCCTTGTTCATCTTCACGTTCGTGGATTACTCCCCTTCTGAGTACGGAGATTACAAATATCCGGGCTGGGCTGACGCGTTGGGCTGGGTCATGGCATTCCTCTCTGTATTAGCCATTCCCATTACGATGCTTTACAAGATATCAAGAGAAGACGACGAAGATAGTTTTGTAGAGGTATGACGTCACTTCCGCCGATAAAAATGTATTTAACAGAACAAAAGTTTGAATGCATGTTTCGTGATTTGCTTGAGAGTTCAAATGAAAGTATGGAAATGAAATATAACTGTGTTGGTCAGTAACTTGTAATATTAATTTTATGAATTACCACTGTAGAAAATAAAGCTGTTGGTAACACCGACCCGAGAATGGGGTCCAGCCCTGGTTAAGCATCGCCGTCTCGTGACGTATGTAGAGGGCTGGGTTGTCGACCCTTGGGAAGAACTTGCAACCTATGTCAACAAAGCATTTGCCTCTGACAAAACGAAGTCACAAAGTACACTGTGGGTAAGTCCAAGTAAATAGCAATATGTTGTAATGTCGGTTTGAGACAACCTCTTGTTCATTGATAGATACTCAGATATTGAAATGTCTGTAACGGACGCACCTCGTTATCTCGAAGTCGGCGGAACCATGAGAAAATTTTCGAGTTATTGTATTACTCGAATATGATCGAATGTTTAGTGTAAGGCAATGACATACAGTGTTGAATGTATTGCTATGTTTTTCTGGTAATACAATGTACGATTGTTACGCAAAGTGTGGACAAAATTATGGCCTCGAATTATTTTTTACCAAGCTTGATACATTACTTCTACTGATTTGACTGAAGTATGGCGTCTCGACCAAATAATTTCTAACCATCCTCACATTTCTCTTTGATGATGTTTGTTGTTACAGCACGGCTGACGAACTTTTGTTTGAAACTTTACTATTTTATTTGCAGACATCAGAACCGGTTATCTCCTCTTACTTTTCTCCTCGTAGAAAAAAGGACTTTAGTGATACCGAAAGTTACACTGCCACAGAGGCATCAGAACGGACAGGTGTGTCGTTTGAGTCCTATGTTTGAGTACGGACTTGTTAAAGTATACATAGGTATCCTTCTGTCTGCATCAGCGCGATAACTCCGTGCCTGATCAGAAAAACTCTCACGCCAAAGCTCCGCCCGATCATAGAAATAAACTACTGGAGACAAACAAGACTGAATTATCGGCAGGAAGGCAGAGTTGTTTTTCTTAGTGTGTGAGCTATACAAAGTACTACCGCCTATATAGACCTGTTAAACAAGAGACAGCGGGCTTTATTTTGAAATCCCTATTTGTTTTGATATAAATATTATTTTTGTATCGATACTCATAACTGTGTCACTTTGTGTCACCTTTAACTACAAAAAATAAAATGTCATTGTTACCTGCAAGTACAGATTCCTATCCTATCATAAAATGTCACTAGTAACTACAGATTTATATCTACATTGTACAGGCAGTAGCCGATATAAGACCAAATCATTTTTTATTTATTATATTTGCGTGTGCATTAAGCAATATACAAGTATTTCTATTTTAACATAAAGATACAAAAATCCATGAAGGAGGATTCTCTTGGCGTTTAGCTGCTATTAGGCCCTCATAAATAGTTAAAAGGCAGCGAGAGGCCTGGAGAATCAATCTCTCTAGTTAATTTTTTAATCTTTATATTATCCTGTCAAGCAGATTTTGATTTTTGTAAGTTTTATCATGTTCCTGTTGCATGAAAACTATAATTTACAATTATATGATAAATTAGTCAGGTAGACTCTAGATTTACCTCCCTTTGTACTAATGATATCCATTCCTTTTGTATAATGTATCATTTAATATTTACACGTCGTTACTTCGTCCAAGAAACACATATCGTTATAGTCATATTTAAGGTTATATCCGGGTATAATATGATGTACTCGGGACACAACTATGTTTATCTGTGATGTATCGTTCAAATCCTTTATTTACGAATGGTATATACGGATGAAAAGAAGTGTTGGATGATAGGAAGCGATGAAAGGGAGAAGTAAGAAAGATTCACATTTTTATTAAAAAATAAAAAAGCAATAAGTAACCGGTTGTTTTGTCTTCTTTATAATATTACTTCAAATTCACATGAGATGAAATTAGCCACAATAAGAGACGGAGAAAGATTTACCCAGCTACCAATGAAAACGTACAAGGTAAATAAGACAAACTGTTTTGAAAGGGTTGTCTTCTGTTTCAAAGAAGACATCCGCCATTTAAATCTTGGTTAATACTATTTAGTAGTTTCGCATTCACAATGAATACGACGTTAACACCAACAAAACAACCAGGTATACAAATGAGCACCAAACACGTTCAACTTCATATCACACAACAGAACCACCAGGTATACTAACGAACATCAAACACGCACAACTTCATATTACAAAACAGAATCACCGGGTATACTAACGAGCATCAAACACGTCCAACTTTATATCACACAACAGAACCAACAGGTATACTAACGAGCATCCAACACGTCCAACTTCTTCCTTCGTCATACTTCAAAACACTGTTGTAAATTTATCTGTCAGCTATCTCTTAAACATTAATTTTAAATAATTTCGGTTCCAGAGTAGAATGAAAATAAGTTAGATGAATTACACAGCTTAATGATTTAAAAAAAAGAAAAAATCATTGATATCAAGTAAAACAACACATTATACGCATTTTTCGTGTCCTCAGTGTGTGCTAGAAATATTTTCAGCGGATTTAAGTAAAACTGGGATCCTAACGGCTGTTTTAACCTGTTGTTTGGACATTGATTTACTTTTGGTCTACAAATTGTGAGGAAGGCTTTGAATTACATCACAAGAAAAGAAAGATGCCTGACCTGGTGTCTGTATAATGCAGCTGGGTGAATGTCATACCAATCTGCTTACAGTATGACGTTTCAGAGTAAATATATTGGCCCCATAAAGTAGTTACCCTCTCTCAGTGACCTCAGTATGCTGATAATATGTGTAACATTGTCCCATTGTCGACAGCTGGTTGGTAGTCCCGGTAAATAAATGAGACTGCTTAAAATCAAATATTTGACTTTGAAGTAAAACTAAGTCGCCTCCTAAGTTTCGAAATTTAGGCCCTTAGCATCACTAACAAGTCATAGAAGGACTTAACAGCTGTATCATGTAGCATCACTAACAAGTCATAGAAGGACTAAACAGCTGTATCATGTAGCATCACTGACTAGTCCTAGAAGGACTAAACAGCTGTATCATGTAGCATCACTGACTAGTCCTAGAAGGACCAAACAGCTGTATCATGTAGCATCACTGACTAGTCCTAGAAGGACCAAACAGCTGTATCATGTAGCATCACTGACAAGTCATAGAAGGACTAAACAGCTGTATCATGTAGCATCACTGACTAGTCCTAGAAGGACTAAACAGCTGTATCATGTAGCATCACTGACGAGTCCTAGAAGGACTAAACAGCTGTATCATGTAGCATCACTGACGAGTCCTAGAAGGACTAAACAGCTGTATCATGTAGCATCACTAACAAGTCATAGAAGGACTAAACAGCTGTATCATGTAGCATCACTGACGAGTCCTAGAAGGACTAAACAGCTGTATCATGTAGCATCACTGACAAGTCATAGAAGGACTAAACAGCTGTATCATGTAGCATCACTAACAAGTCATAGAAGGACTAAACAGCTGTATCATGTAGCATCACTGACAAGTCATAGAAGGACTAAACAGCTGTATCATGTAGCATTACTGACGAGTCCTAGAAGGACTAACAACTGTATGATGTAACATCACTGACAAGTCCTACCTAGAAGGACCAAACAGCTGTATGATGTAGCATCACTGACGAGTCCTACCTAGAAGGACCAAACAGCCGTATGATGTAGCATCACTGACGAGTCCTAGAAGGACTAAACAACTGTATGATGTAACATCACTGACAAGTCCTACCTAGAAGGACCAAACAGCCGTATGATGTAGCATCACTGACGAGTCCTAGAAGGCCAAAACAACACTATAGTGGCTTTATCTGATCTAACTCTAAATCTGTAACAACGGTAGGAAGTCATATGTGTGTATGATATTCAGCCCAATCAACAATATCCGTAACAATACGTAGTACTGCTGGAATATTTGGCGAAGGAATCGTATATACAGTTGGGTATTGTAAAACTGGAATCTTCCTGAGAGGAAAGGTTTTTTTTGCCAGTTTGTTTAGATGTATACATATTAACCTGGATTTACGGAGCAGCTTCTCGGAACAGGCAATAAGAAACATGCTATGTGTAACTTTTTGAAACACTGATGACATAGTTACTTCAGTTCACAAGAAAAACTTCTATACATGAACCGCTTTACTTTATCTTTACAGATATGATAAGCCAACTTACCATTATGCAGGTATAAACATCGTATTTATATCTTACTTAGTTTCTCGATAGTAACAGTAATGTTCCCCAACTTTGGGAGATTGCATGTTGCAGCTAAAAACCTGTATAAGAAATTGACTGTCCTAGTGGGGAAACAAAAAAAACCAATCACACTGGCTAGGTCACTTGTCGTCATATCTTAGCCTCGTCGGGAAGCTTTCTATCTATGGACTGGACCAGGATACTTACAATAAATAATGAATCTGAATTTTAGATTGATTCAATCCTTGACACGTGTCATTGAAAATGGAATTTCGGTGTTGGGCGGTGTCTTGGTCTTTATCAGGTATAATGATACCAGTACAGATTTAGTCTATCACTGAAGTTATTCCGGGCAGCGTTCCGCCACTACAGGAACCAAATGTCCGAGTAAAACACATATTTCTTAATTTAAAGATATATAATCCCATTTTATTCGATTCTTTCCCAAATCCCATCGTTCCACTCCGACTTCGGTGTTTCTATTCGTATACATTTAAACTTCTGGTGATTGTAATGTCGCTATGGCGAGGACCTCTTTCTGAGACAATCACCATTTACACATATTAATTACTGTGTTGTCTAGTTACGGTATGTTGTTGTAGATACATCAGCAACATACACTTTATCTGATCTACATTGTAAATATGTGCATATAGTTTATATTTCATTGTATATGATGTTTACAGTATCTAAAATAAAATATCCAAATATTTATGATGTGTTTCAAATTGGTTGCTACGCCAGTCGCTCCTATATAGAATATAACTATCTGTACTTGTTACCAGGAATGGTTGGGGTTAGATAACAACTGATTGACCAAACAACAGCAGAGTGATGGAAAACAAGCCTTGCGTTCTGTTAAGGGTCTTTGTCAACCAACAAAACAAGTATCTGTAGGAACTGTAAACAACAAACAGCCCGAAAATACATATTACACAGTCAAAATATTTCCCAACAAGCACAGTGTACCAGTCACGTAATTTTGAAGGAATTTCTAATCTCTTTGGGTATACGCATTTAGCAGCACTAACATGAAATCAATGGCCGTGAAATCTGACTTGATCAGAAAGGAAGATGGTGAGGTAGAGCTGGTTTATTTTTTCTGAAACCACAAGTTTTCTACTCTCAACGACCGTTTACTTTTTAACCGGCAGGGTCGACACGATCTCTGAAGAGGGCACCTGTCTGATTCGCGTGCTGGCTGTTCGGCAACACGTGAGATCCCAGACCCCTTATCGCCCGGAGTGACGTTTGGACTATCTCCTTCCTTGATCACTCCGCCATGTTTTATAGTCTTGACATGGGTAGCGAACATCACCCCTGTTTTCTCGCCCTTTAAAGTGCGATGAAGGGACATTCTAAACAAGGGTAGCTATCGTGTCATCAGAGATCAGCAGTTGTGTAAGGAGCTGCTGGGAAAACACGGCATGTAATACAACTATACTCCAATGATGAAAACAGAATGTGGAAAAATGTTTGAGATTTGGGGATAACCGGATAATCGTTGGTTAAGGTTGATGTGAACTTTATAACCTCTTTTGTTTCATGTGTATTTCTATTGAGACGTGGTTTTGATAAATATTGAATAAACTCCTCGAGTTTGTTACATGTTTTAATCATCATTGATCC